CAGGAGCATGCCACCATGTCTGGCTAATTTGTTGTATTTTTAGTAGAGACAGGGTTTCACCATGTTGGTCAGGCTGGTCCCAAACCCCTAGCCTGAAGTGATTCACCCACTCAACCTCCTGAACCACCATGCCCGGCCTCTTATTTCTTCTTTGAGGTTTGGAAATGTCTGTCTTATGCCTGTCCCACCATGTACTGTGGAAGTGCATAACTTGTTTGATTACATAGGCTCACAGTGGCGGGGGGAGGCAATTTGCCTCAGGATATATACTGCCTTGATTCTCACCTATATCTGATTCAGGTGAGACTCCAGACTTTAGATTTTACAGTTGATGCTCAAATGAGTCAAGACATTCTGTGAATATTGAGACAGGATGAACTGCTTATATAATGTATTTTGAAAGTGAGGAAGACATGAAATTTGGTGGGCCAAAGGTGGAATGATATGGTTTGAATATATGCCCTTTAAAATTCAGGCATTATTGGCCCTCTACTAAAAATACAAAAATTGGCCCTGCATGGTGGCAGATACCTGGAATCCCAGCTACTCAGGAGGTTGAAGCATGAGAATCGCTACTCAGGAGGTTGAAGCATGAGAATCGCTTTAACCTGGGAGGTGGAGGTTGCAGTGAGCTGAGATCATGCCATTACACTGCAGCCTATGGGACAAGAGCAAAACTCCATCTCAAAAAAAAAAAAAAAAAAAGGAAGAACGCATAAGAAAGAAAAAAGGAAGAACTGGTCCAAGTAAGTCTAAAACCCTGACAAAGTAACCAAGATTGAATTTTAAGGCTTAAGAATAATGTCTTTTGGCTCCAACTTATGTTTTCTGGACACAAAGGTAGAGATTTGTACCCAAAATTCTGACAACCCCATTCCCATAGGTTTGATGGGCACATTTCAAGCTTCATCTCTTACACATTAAAACTGCTTATTGGCAGCTTTCCAAGGCTGGCACTGCACACTTGTCTCCAAATTCTGGAGTCTCAAGGGTGACCCTAGGCATTTCGTTAGTGGAGACTCTGGAACTCTGGACCCCACAGTTTCACTGAGCATTGTCCTAGTGAGTGCTCTCTGCAGAAGCTCCATCCTTCTGCCTTGGCCAGAGGTTCTCTGTAGCATCCTTTGAAATCTAGGTGCAGGCAGCCATCCTCCACAGCTCTTTATACTGTGAGCCTGCAGATAGAACCACGTGGGCACTGCCAGGGCTCACCATTTACAATCTTCAGATCAGACCGTGGCCTGAGCTACGCATGGGCTCATTCAGCCACAGCTGAGGCGAGTGAGGCCTGAATAAGGCAAGCAGAAACCCAAGGGATTTTGGCTAGCAAGCCATAGCTTCCCAGAGGCAGCCTATTCTCATCCAGTTAAACCATTCTGCCCACAAAAGACAATCCTAGCACTCAAGAAACAAGGATTTTATTGCAATATAGCAGAGCCTAAAAATCAAGTAAATACGTATCAGAAGGAAAGTGGATTAATAAATTATGGCACATGAAATACTATGTAGCCATTGGAATAAGAAAATATTAGAGCCATATCAGAAGATCTGGAGAGAAAGAATGTTCATAAAGTATCATGGAGTGAGAATAGAATAAAGTAAAGATTATGTACTACAACTCTCTTTAGATGAAATAATGACACAGAAACTCAACATGTATGTATGTGCATGTGAACCTGTGAACACTGACACGTGTGTATATGCGTAGTCATGCATATTTTAAGGTTGTGTTTCATGAAAAGTCCTTTGAGGGCTACTTTTTCTCCCATTTGTTTTCCAAGTCTGATTCTCTGGGCCACCAACCACTCCTCTGTGTACCCCTGATAGGCTGTGTGTGATCTCTTGATTTATATGTGATTTTTAAAAATAACCAGTGATCTGTACTGCTCACTAGGGGGTCTACTGTATTAGCCAAGGAAAAGTCGTCTTTCCTTCCTGGGAGGTAGAAGAAAGTGCTTTACTGAGAAAATAATTGAAATATAAGATGATTTTAAAACTGAAATATATCTTAACCTGGAGTGCTACCTCTTGGCTGTGATACTCCGTAGCCACAATTAGAGAAATCTGAAGCAAGAAGCATGCTCTTTGTCCTCCAGAAATAATTTGACTTTATAATATGACCACATTGAAGAAATTTTTTAAATGTAGGAAAGTTTAAAGAGTGAAGCTCTTTGAAGTGCTCACACTCTGGTTCAGTAGCAAGAACTTATTTTAAAATGTTTGGCTATCTTTACGGGGAGATTTATCTTGTCAATATTGTCACCAAATACATCTTTTTACTATTTATAATTTAACTTCAGTTATTTTCCAGGTTGTCCCAATAATGGGTAATAGAAAGGCCCTTATTCCCTTAGACCCTCATTCAATAATATGCATTATTTTTAATTGACTCAACTGTAACAGTACACTCATTTAGTAGAGGGGCCTTGTGTTGAGTAATTTTCCTGTCTGGGTAGCTACATTTTGTGTTTCCATTAACTCCAGGATAAAGCCTTTGTAACACTACATATAAGTAAACTAAAATATAAGGGGAATGCTCTGACTCACAAAATGTAAATTAAAAAAAAGTTAAAGATCACAATATTCATTCACTTTCAATCCCTCTCCTTCAATAAACAGGTGGTATATTCATTATCTCAGCTCACTTTGTTAGAAAAAATATCCCTTTTTGTTGTTTTTAATAATTAAAAATAAATTTAGTTTTAGTTTTGTTTCCCCTTCATTTAACAGTTACCAAGAAGTAATTGCTTAAAATTTCATGAAATGTGTCAGGCAGACTGCTGCCATTCATAATTGAAGTGGTTTTTGCTGTTTCCTAACAAGATTATTGTGTTTTTCTTTTAAACAAAAATAATAATTTTATTTATTTATTATTTTTTTTTTTTGAGACAGAGTTTTGCTCTTGTTACCCAGGCTGGAGTGCAATGGTGCGATCTTGGCTCACCACAACCTCCGCCTCCTGGGTTCAGGCAATTTTCCTGCCTCAGCCTCTGGAGTAGCTGGGATTACAGGCATGCACCACTATGCCCAGCAAATTTTTTGTATTTTTTTTAGTAGAGACAGGGTTTCACCATGTTAACCAGTATGGACTCAATCTCTTGACCTCATGATCCACCCACCTCAGCCTCCCAAAGTGCTGGGATTACAGGCTTGGGCCACTGTGCCTGGCTGATTATATAAGATATTGATTTTAGCAAAATATTGAGCATGACGTTTTGCGAACAAATGATAGTCTAGTCTGATTGAGCACAACACCACTTTGCAATGTGTTTTTAATTAAGAGGAATCCAACAACCAGTAATAGAATTACCTCAAGTCGGAAACTATGGATTTATTTCTTTTATTACTAAATATTTAATGGAGCAGTAAAGTCAACAAAAGTATCAGATTTCTGATTACAAGCAACATCAGAGGTGACATGATATCTTTGGATTAGACATTTTAATATATAAGTGAGGACACTTAAATTTTATCTGTGTAACACAAGTCTCTATTCTGATGATTAAATATTTTAAATGAAGAAAAGTAATTTTGTGGGTGACTAATTCCACAGATGGAAAATAGTGCCCACCACCTGTTAGAGGGAAACTACAACTGATGCAGTTGTCTAAACACCTGGAATTGAGTCCTTGCTTTTTTATTTGTTTCATGATTTTGGAAAAAAGGTGTATTCCCTAGACCTCAGACTTCATGAGGATAATACAAAAATCATATGATAAAATATTATCTGTCTATAGTCCTTGATTTGAGGTTCAACAAATAAATCAAACTAATGTACAAAAAATATGTTAATAACTTCCAGATTTTGACTGGATATGAGTACCACAAGGAGTAACATCATACTAAAATCCTGTTAATAACTTCTCTTTCAGAATTACACAAGCTAAGGCAGCTTTGTTTGTCTGCAAATATATTTTATACACATGGTAATAGAAAACACAATTGAGCAAGCTTTTGTCAAATGCTGTCTTACAAATACCACCAACATAACATGTACCTAAATCAAAGCTCAGTTTACTGAATGTTTCAGTAAAGAATGGTACTACCTTGTCAAAGCTTCAATATCAGTGTGGGGGGGAATATTTATGAGGATTTGCAGTCTGCTTTAAGACAGATCTTTCAATGTAAGAATTTGACTGGATTGAGTAAGGAACATACTATTTCAGAATTAAAGAATACAGCAATTGAAAATTTCAAAGGCCTGGAGGGTAAACAATTGTTTGATGTTATCTGCCTAAAATTTGGGCAATCTTTATATATTAAGTGGATTGTTGAGAAAGTCTTTAAACCAAACAATAACCTTGTTTACAATTTCTATCTTCCTGAGCATAAATTTCCTAGAACAGAAAAATGATACTGATGAAGACAGTGGAAGTGTATTAGTGAAGAAAGCTGAAAAGTAAAGTTCTATTAACGTATATAGTAAGTTGCGTTAGTATAGATGATTTCTTTATTATACAATTAAAACATTCAAAAAATGTTTATATACACAGTATCTTCCTAATAAAATGAATCATATGCACATTCATATCTTTCCTAAACTCGATACAAATCTCCTATATTTCTTTCTAAACATGAATGAAAACCAACTTAATTTACAGAATAATTTGGGAAAATGCTAGGTTATTAGAAAGAGAGAGGAGTCTGGTACTCTGGCATTGTCTTTGAGTTAAATAGAAAGGCTTTACTATCCTTCCAAAACCACTTGGTTTTTGAAGAATGATGGGAGTAAATTACCAATAAATAGATTTTATTACTTTTTGAAAACATTGTGCAATTATCTTTGTAGCAAAATTAGTTTTTAAATGTTTAGATATATATATTATAATTTCTGTTGTTACCACAAAGAGTTAAAATGAAAGCAACAGAGACAAATTGTTCCAACAGAATAAAAATGTGTAGTTCCTTAGAAATAGTAATCTTCATTTGTTTTGTCATGAAGATAAATATCATGACAAAAATTCAAAAATAATTTATACAGTTCAAAATAATAACTTTTATTAAATATAAATAATTAGACATTGTCATTAAATTTCACAAAAATCTAATAACAAATTATAACTAAATGAATAAATATAGTTTTTAAAGACAAGTGAAGGAGCAAGAGGAAGAATTAAGGATGCAATTTTTTTTTCCTTGCAAACATCAATGAGTCATTATTACTACATTCTCCTTGCCAGTAATCTGCTATACATGAGGAAGTTGCAGTTATAATTTTATAAATATAGAAGATTTTTAGGAAAAGCTAAGAATATATATAAATATTTTACTTTGTGTTGTTACTAGTATATTTTTAAGATGCTTATTTTCTAGGTTGCAAAATATTCACATCAAATTTATTAATTTCCACTAATACCCATTTAAATTAAAACTATATATTTTATAACATGTAAAGTGAGGTCCAAGTAATTTGTCTGAAGAATTTTTTTTCTCATCGGGCTAGGGGCGGGGATGGGGGTGGGGAGGCTGTGACCAATTCTGAAATAGCTTTACATGCACCATGAGTAAGAAGGGGCAAATAAGTAAATGAAGAGCGAATAGTGGGGGTCAGGTTTTTCACTGCTGGCGAGAGAAGTTATAGATAAGCAAAGGGAGAAGGCTAGAAGGAACCCTGTGATACTGGATTTGAGTTAGAGAAATAAGTATAAACTCATATTTAACCACACATATATAAAAATTTAATAGATATGTGTATATACATGGGTTAATACACATATCTCCTATCTGTGTGCTCTGAGAGGGCCTATTACAAGGTTACAGATAGTATAGGGTTGCCAGATCAACACACGATGTATAAATAAATTTGAATTTCAGATAATAATAAACAAATTAGGTCTGCATGGATGAGAGTGTCGGGGAGGCCCAGGCCACCTCTTGGTCCTGCTGGTGCACCTTACTGGGGGCTTAAAACCACCCCAAGTGTTTGGGTGTGGAGGCTCACACCTGTAGTCCCAGCACTTTGAGAGACTGTGGCAGGATAACTGAACCCAGGTGTTTGAGACCAGTCTGGACAATGCAGCAAACCCCATCTCTAGAAAAGAGAAAAGGAAAAATTAGGCATTGTGGCACACACCTGTAGTCCTAGCTACTGGGCAGGCTGACACAGGAGGATGGCTTGAGCCTAGCAGTTAGAGGCTGCAGTGATCCATGATGGAGCCAAGCAGGGGAGAAATATGGGGATGCACACACCTCTCCATCATCTCTACACAGACACAGAACCACGCACAGCTCTTGAGAGGAGGAATATGAGCTGCTCAAAGCCAGGGAGGGACCCACACAGTGGCCAGTGTGGCAGGGACGGTGCTTTAGCCAAGGTAGGAATGGTGGGAGACCTACTTGGGATCCTCAAGGAGGCTGCAGCACTTCCATGTTCTTTCTGGATGACAGGGACGTGTCGAAGATGATGAGTGAGATGAACATACACGCCATCACAGACACACTGAAGCTCTGCTTCCATGAGCTGCATGAGCCCCTCTTCACTGAAGTTCTACCCAACTTCGATGAGGGCATCGGTGAGAACTGGAGGCCATGGCGTCATAAGAGGCATCTCCTCCATGTGCACTGCGGCCATTAGGGGCTGTGGAAAGTGAGGTGTGAGAACCCACACTGTGTCCTTTCTGCCATGGTCAGTGTTTTAACCAAGCTCAGAAAGCAGGGGCCACAACTGAGGCCATTGTGTAAGTCCTTGTCTGTCCCCAGAGGACTCCTTGTCCTATTCCTCAAGGAGGCCAAGAGAGTAAAATGCTCATCACTGCTGTGCTGTGGGGTTCTAAAGTCTGCTGTCCCCCTTCCAGCAGACCAGGGCTGAATGAGGATCCCCAGGTGCTCTAGCCATGGGTCCTGGCCCAGTCAAGCACAGGATCAAACCTGGCCTGACCCCGAGTCAACCTGGAGGCTGATGTCTAAGCAGGGCACTGGCATGTGTGGCCCTGTATCCTCTGCATGACCGTTAGGGCAGGCCTGCATCCTGGGCCCTGGTAGAGGACCTGGTCTACCAGCCTGAGGTGCCCCTGCGGAGTCTAGGTTGAAGAGAGGGTCTCTGCTTAGTTTGTGGGGCTGAGGCCACCCACCTTTCACCTCCTTGTGTCTCTCACTCCCCTTTTTTATTTTATGCTGAGCCTCCACTACTCTGGGCTGCCCTTGGGAGGGGGTGGCAGCCGCAGTTTCCCATGGGCAACTCTGCCCATGAGCCACTGCTCTCACGCCACCTCCTGCTACTGTTCTTCAGGTGCTGCTGACTCCTGTGGGGCAGAGAAAATGGATTCAGGTGGCTCATACCCCACACTGGCGCCCTTCACAGGGTCCTCATTGGGGCCAGTGCTGTGGGAGTGAGTATGATGACGAGCCTAGGCTGTTCAGGATCGCGTGCCCCAGATGCCCCATGTCACCAACTCAGGAGAGGTCTCCAGCTCGTTGTGACCATGAGGAGTAACCCACTGCCTTCTGCAGTGATTTTAGACCCCGCTGCAAAAAAGAACTCCATGCTTAACCTGCCCTTGTCCCGGCTGGAGGCCAACCTGCTCACCTTCCTTTTCCTTCTGGACCACCTGAAAAGGTAGCCCAGCTCTCTCATGGCTGCCCAGGGAGGGCTACAAAAACCCAGGCCATAGGGTGCCCCTCTGCTCACATCAGACCCCCAGCACCGAGGACCTTTTCCCCCAACCTGTCTACAGTCCCTCACTGCCTCTGGGGACCAGCGCCACTGCCACCCCCACCCAGCCTCTCTTCTTTGCCCTGCTCCCCCATCTGCACTGTGGCTTCACAAAGAGCTCCGAGCTTTGGCCATGGCCAGCAGTGCACTTGAATCCCCCAATTCCCTCACTCCCCAACCATGGAGGAGACCTCCCCACCAGCCCAGAGCTAACCCCTCATCCTGGGCCTCTGAGACCCACAAGTACCAGGGCTGGAATCAGCTTGCAGCACAGCCAGGGTCAAGGTTGCTCCCTCCCAGAGGACGCCAGCATGGCCCAGCCCCTCTGCCTCTTTCCTGGTGGTGGCGTAGAAATAGCACCCTCTGCTTCAGTCCTGCACAGGGTAGTAAGAAAAAGGCAGTCAATAAAAGTTCCTGCACAACCTCACCATGGTCTTTGGCCCCATACTGCTCCAGCCTCAGAGAAGGAAAGCAAGCTTTCTGCCAATCCCAGCGGCCCATCACCATGACCGACAGCTGGTTTTTGGAGGTCATGACCTACATGTGGGAAGACAGGCTCCAGCCAGCCCATGCCACCCGACCTCACAGAGGTGGCCTCTACCTGCTACACCCCCAGTCCAGCCCTGCCCAGCTTCCTACTTGCATTGTCTGTGGTGGTGACTGAGATTCAGAGAGAGAAACTTGCCTGGGTCTGCATGGATAAGAGTGTTGGGGAGGCCCAGGCCACCTCTTGGTCCTGCTGGTGCACCTTACTGGGGGCTTAAAACCACCCCACGTGTTTGGGTGTGGAGGCTCATGCCTGTAATCCCAGCACTTTGAGAGACCGCAGCAGGATAACTGAACCCAGGTGTTTGACACCAGTCTGGACAATGCAGCAAACCCAATCTCTAGAAAAGAGAAAAAGAAAAATTAGTCAGGCATTGTGGCACACACCTGTAGTCCTAGCTACTGGGGAGGCTGACACAGGAAGATGGCTTGAGCCTAGCAGTTAGAGGCTGCAGTGATCCATAATGGAGCCACTGTACTCCAGCCTGGGTGACAGAGCAAGGCCCTGTACACCTCTAAAATAACGCCCCCAAGTCATGCCTTGTCTGCATCCACACCCCACCTCCCATCTCACTGTAAAGGCTTCATGGCAGCAGCAGAGGACCCAGCACCTTAGCTGGACTTGGGGGCTAAAGATCACCAGCTGTGAGCACCCTCTGAGCCTCTCTCCTCTTTCCCACTCTTTCTGGCAGGTCAAGATGCTGCTGTACTTCCTGCACCTGGAGGGAAGTCTTAAGGCCCCTGTACATCTCCAGAAGGCAGATAGACATCCCTAAAACCTCTGGATAATTGGACCATCTGTAGACTGGGAACCAAACCTTCCTGAGGTGTCCTTGGGCCAGTCCCAAGCATCAGGCCATCTGCCAAGGGACAATGAGACAAAGCAGAAGGACAGGTAGCCTGGGGACATCCTGGCCAGGTCTGGAAGCCCCAGACTGGCCCTAAACTGTGGTTTTTCACATGGCCACCTGAAGGCACCCCAAGCCAGTGTATCTCAGAGTCTGGGACAGGTCCTGGGGGACAGAGTAAAGGGAGTGGTTTTAGGAACTTACATGTCTCCTGGATCACTTCTCGAGACGTGCCCTCTCTGGGGAGACAGGAATGTGACGGGATCCCCTCACTGTTGTATCTTCAATAAATGCTGCTGCTTCATCCTCTGGGGTCATGACCCTGTCCCTGTGTGGGATGGGCCTCTTCTATTCCCTGACTAGGAAACCACACTCCATTTAGAAAAGATTGAGAGGCTAAGTCAGCACTGGATAACGTTTTGACTCCATTCACGGCTTTTTTTTTCCTTCTTTCCAGAAGGACTTTTGTGCAGAAATGGATCTTTTCTTGCTGTGTTTGTCCTTATTGGAAGGCAGCTCCAGGAGGCCTGTGAAATGCTGGGGGACAGGACCCAAGGGGAGGGTGTTCCAGGCTGTGTGCTTTAGGATTCCTCCTCCAGGGAGAGCAACCTCATCCCCGATTCTGACGGCCCTCCTGGCTCATGCTCTCCTGTTTGGCTTCCACAGACCAGGACTTCTCTGGCTTCCCTCTGCCCACACTCTCAAGTGTCCCCAGCACAGGTGGCTTCATTTTTCTCTCAACTCAAAGAACTTTCTCAACTTCTGTAAAAGTCCCCTCTTAGTGGTAGAAGCTTGCTGATGGCAGGCTTTAAAACTTTGATTCAAATAACCTATTAATACTTGAATATTTTAAGTTGTATACATAGTTCCTAATTATTTTCCTAACAGATTCAGATACATAATAAGATCCTAGAATGGCACCATTTTGTCTTTCTCTAAGTGACTGGCTCTGCTCTCTCAGGAGTGGGTTCTGAGGTCTCTGGACTACAGGATATTCAGAAGGTCAGGAAGAAGCCCGGCCTAGGGTAGAGGGGCATGGGGACGGCTCCTTCCTTGAGCAGGCAGAGGCACAGCACCACCTGCCGCCCCCTCTGCCAGCACCTGTGTGGGAGCCCAGGCATCCTTTGTAACCCTGCATTACCAGCAGGCTGAAAGAAAACAGAAGCATGGAGGCTGCCACTTATTTTCAACAAATTAACTCGTAAACAATTCCCTCACTTTTTCAGAAAAAGGAGGTTGGGGCAAGGAGAGGGGAGAAGGGAGATGAAACCCAAAGCCGAGTTTTCAGAAAATCCTGCAGGAGAAAAGGATGCAGCTGCCCAGAGAAGGGAAGCAGGATCACACTCAGGAAAGTGTGTGGGGTCCTGGATGACACCAACACCCAGTGCAGTTCTGTCCAGTGACCTCTCCCAAAGTGGGGAAGGTGAGTGTTCCCTGGATGTCCATGGGCAGATTCTGCTGAGCATGCAGCATGTTGGGGAGTCTGACACTGGAGCCATTCTCCTCCACTCCAGGCAATGCCAGGCAAGGCAAGGCAAGACAAAACAATTCCAAGCAAGTCAATCCCAAACAAGGCAAGGTGAGGTGAGGTGAGGCAAGGCAAGACAAATTAAATTCGAGGCAAGGAAATACCAGGTAAGGCAAGGCAAGGTAATTCCAGGGAAGATAACTCCAGGCAATGCAAGGCAATGGAGGGCAAGGCAATGGAGGGCAAGGCAATGGAGGGCAAGGCAAGGCAATTCCAGGCAAGGCAAGGCAATGCTATACCAGGCAAGACAATTCCAGGCAATGCAAGGTAAGGCAAGGCAAAAAATTTCAGGCACGGAAATGCAAGGCAAGGCAAGGCAAAAAATTTCAGGCGAGGCGAGGCAAGGTGAGGCAAGGTGAGGCAAGGCGAGGCGAGGCAGTCCAGGCAAAGCGATGCAATCCCAGGCAAGGCAAGGCAATCCCAGGCAAGGCAAGGTAAGGCAAGGCAAGGCAAGGTAGGGCAGGGCAGGGCAGGGCAGGGCAGGGCAAGGCAAGGCAATGCAATTCCAGGCAAGACAAGGCAAGGCTATTGCAGGCAAGGCCATTCCAGGCAAGACAAGGAAAGGAAAGGCAGAAAATTCCAGGCAAGGCGAGGCAAGGCAAGGCCAATTCAATCCAGGCAAGTCAATTTCAGGCAAGGCAAGGCAATTCCAGGGAAGGCAATTCAAGGAAAGGCAAAGGAATGCAATTCCAGGCAAGGCAACTCCAGGCAAGGCAAGACAAGGCAATTCCAGGCAGGCAATTTCAGGCAAGGGAAGGCAAAGCAAGGCAATTCAAGGCAAGGCAAGGAAAGGCAACTCAAGGTGATTCCATGCAAGGCAGGGCAAGGGAATTCCAGTCAAGACAAGCCAAGCCAAGGCAAGGCAAGGCAATTCCAGGCAAGAAAATTCCAGTCAAGCAAGGCAAGACAATGTGATTCCAGGCAAGGCAATTCCAGGCAAGGCAAGGCAGAACAATTCCAGTAAAGATGATTCCAGGCAAGGCAAGGCAATGTAATTTCAGGCTAGGAAATTCCAGGCAATGCAATTCCAGGCAACACAAGGCAAGGCAATGCAAGGCAATTCCAGGCAAGGCAAGGCATGGGAAGGCAAGCAAGGCAATTCTGGGAAAGGAAATTCCAGGCAAGGCAAGACAAGGCAGGGAAAGGGAATTCCAGATGAGGCAATTCCAGGTAAGGCGAGACAAGGCAATTCCAGCAAAGGCAAATCCAGGCAAGACCAGGCAAGGCAATATCAGGCAAGGCAATTCCAGGCAAGGCAAGGCAACACAGGGCAAGGCAATTCCAGGCAAGGAAAAGCAAGGCTATTCCAGCCAAGGAAATTCCAGGCAATGCAATGCAAGGCAAGGCAAGCAAATTCCAGCAAGTAAATTCCAGGCAAGGCAAGGCAAGTCAAGGAGAGGCAAAGTCATTCCAGGCAAGGAAAGGCAAGGCAATACAATGCAATTCCAAGAAAGAGAATTCCAGGCAAGACAAGGCAAGGCAATTCCAGACAAGGTAATTTCAGACAAGGAAAGGAAAGGCAATTCCAGGCAAGGCAAAACAAGGCAAAAAAGGGCCATTCCAGGCAAGGCGATTTCAGGCAAGGCAAGGCAAGGCAATTCCAGGCAAGGCAAGGCAAGACAAGGCAAGGCAATTCCAGACAAGGTAATTCCAGGAAAGGCAAGGCAACTCACCCTGAATTGCCTTGCCTAGAATTGCCTTGTCTTGCCCTGACTGGAATTGCCTTGCCTGGAATTGTCTTTCCCTGCCTTTTCTTGCCTTGCCTGGCCTGGAATGCCATTCTGGTAATTGCCTTGCCTGGAATTGCCTTGCCTTTCATTGCCTGTTATTCCCTTGCCTGGAATCACATTCCCTTGCTTTGCCTTGCCTTGTTTTGCCTGGGATCGCCTGGCCTAGAATTGCATTGTCTTGCCTTTCCTTGTTTTACCTAGAATTGCCTTTCCTTGCCTTTTTTGGAATTACCTTGTCTGGAATTGCCTTGCCTTGTCTTGCCTGGTATTTTCTTGCTTGGAATGACATTGCATTGCATTGCATTGCCTTGTCTGAAATTGTCTTGCCTGGAATGACCTTGCCTCTCCTTTCCTTTCTTTTCCTTGTCTGAAATTACCTTGCCTGGAATTGCCTTGTCTTGTCTAAAATTTCCTTGCTTGCAATTGTGTTGCATTGCATTGCCTTGCCTTGCCTGAAATTGCCTTGCCTGGAATGACCTTGCCTCTCCTTGCTTTTCCTTGACTTGCCTGGAATTTCCTTGCCTTGCATTGCCTTTCATTGCCTTGACTGAAATTGCCTTGCTGGAATTGCCTTGCCTTGATTTAGCTAGAATTGCCTTGCCTGGAATTGCCTTTCCCTGCCTTGTCTTGCCTTGCCTGGCCTGGAATTGCCTTTTGGGCAATTGCCTTGCCTGAAAATGTCTTGCCTTGCATTGCCTGGAATTTCCTTGCCTTGTCTGGAATTG